GTCGATTGTTGAAGACCAAGTTAAATACCTTGGATTAGTGGGAATCGATACTGCTTTCATTGGGGAAAACGAAACCAAAGATTAAGAAATATTGGAAAAAATGGCGGGTTTGCTTTATTGTAAATGTCAGCTTTGTGTCAGTTGCTCGACATACTTACGTGGCCCGTGCGACGAAATAACTTCACGCGATTAGCAAAGTTTCAGTAACAGCAAATTATACAAAAAATCTACAAAGATTTAAGGTCGGCACACACGAGGGGACTAGTCCCAGCGACCAGTTTCATGCGACTATTTCCTTCGTGTGAACTACACATTTCTGTGGTCGCAGGGACCAAAATCTGGTCCCTGCGACTAAACGGCGGTAAATAAGCCAATCACGGGTCAGTATGATGCGTGACTTCCGGTATTTGTAAACATTGCAGTTTCTATGAATTTTGCCTGAATTCTAGATTTCTACAACTGAAGAATAAAAAACTATTTCTAGTTTTGTAAACATATACAGATGTCTTGGAGCCGTTTTGATGGAATTTTTACCCAATTTGACTCTGTGTCTGTTAAAAATAAAAAACAAAACGAAAACGGAACACGTATAAGCATGAATCATCCGACTGAATAAGTGTAGTTCATTTGCGTTGATGTTTAATAGTCCAATTTTGTTTTCGTGTAACGCCCCAAACTAAGAAACATCTTTTGCCTCTTAATTTTCCTATGTTCTTGTGCAATTGAGTGCCCTCGTGTGAATACCTTAAGGGACTAGTCGCTGCTACCGGTCCCCTCGTGTAAACCCTTCAGAGACTTGTCGCCGGGATTAGTCGCACTGACAAGTCGCAGGGACTAGTTCCCTCGTGTGTGCCGACCTTTAAGCTTACATCTCGTCTAACGTTTAAGCGACATATTAACGCCTGCAACCATTATGTTTTATACGAACCACAGGCAGCCCACACAAGCGGCGTGTCTGGTCGTTTGTTCGAAATATAAAGAAATGTATGGGACAATATTGAAGCAAGGAATGTCTATGTTAAGGCTCAAAATAAATGTAAGCCTACCTCACTTACCGTGTATTGTCGTTTCTGTGGTTCTAAATGGCGAATTTGAGCGATTTGGTAGATTTTGCGTCGACTGTTACTCTACTGTATAGATATGATGAATATATGAAGTTCATATATTTTGAACTGCGGTTATAGAGCCCCATTGGTATGGGGTATGGCCCCATGGGTATGGGGCTCTGCCCCACGCGCGCTAAGCGCGCGTGGGAGCCCCGCTTATAAAAGCTTTGCGATGACGAATTTTGTTGCAAAAACTTTAATTGGAAAAAATGGCCGAAAACTGACCTTTACTTCTGCTTTCAAACTGTTCGTTCGATTTGAAAATCACGCCAACGATATCAGGCCAAACTGTACTTAACTCTTGTAAATATTGCCAATATTCAGAGGCGCGCCGTGTTTGCACCTCGTGAATAGTATTTTCCGCGAAAAGTGTTCTTGTCAAGCCAGGAAGACTTGTCCGTCATTTACAATTGCAAAGGAAATTTTCCATGTTTAATTGAGTGGACTGTAACCTCTTCTTAGCAGTGTGTTTGAAGGAAATGGCGAAGAAGTGGGGCGAGCCAGAGAAAAAACAACGAGGGGGGAATAAGGAGAGGGAAGACAAAAGTGGCACTCTCGCCCTGTCTTCGACGCTCGTACATTTTCGCTCCCTCGATTTTTTGTTCTGCCCCACAGAGCGAGAGCCTGAGACGGAGTAGAAATCCGCTTAACAACAACTTTTTACAATTATTCAGGGCCTTGTAAAATCATTTACTTTGGTCAGAATCGTCCTTAAAAAATTTCCCCTTCTTTAATCGTTTTGAGAAAAAGACTGGCAAGGGAGCTTGGACAAGAGGGCTTGTCAAGTACGTAGAATTTGCATGTCTGCCTTTTAGCTTATTATCCCCAGGAACCAAACAAGGCTAAATATGGAAGTAACTTTTAAAAGCCTCTCAC